GAGAGAGAGAGAGAGAGGAGAGGGGAGGGAGAGGAGGGAGAGGGAGAAGAGAGAGGAAAGAGAGAGAAAGGGAGAGAGAGAGAGAGAGAGAGAGAGAGAGAGAGAGAGAGAGAGAGAGAGAGAGAGAGAGAGAGAGAGGAAGAGAGAGAGAGAGAGAGAGAGAGAGAGAGAGAAAGAGAGAGAGAGAGAGGAAAAAAAAAGTCAACTCTCTAAGACGTTGGGATCAAATGACCTCCTTGAAACAACAACATAACTATGGTGGAAACAAAATAAAGTCTCTTTCTTGTCCTCAATTACGAAGACATACATCTTAATACACTCCATTCGTTATATTCGTTATTCAAGAATGCGTATACCATATACCACCTCATTCCCCACAGAACCGGCACCGCAACAACATAACAACGACCTAATAATTACCGGCCTCGCTCACGAGTCGAAAGAAACTCCCGACGTCAATTCACCACGCAACGACTCCTGGGATCGCGCTTATCGCCATAGCTTATGATAACCTTATCATTACCCTTCGCACTTACTACGCTCCGATATCGTTATCTCCGTCCCCCCGGCGCTTGTGAATCAACAACTCACGTGAGATCGTCGTCCCCAAGCGGTCTTATCAACACAAAATCATTAACGGATATTTTCTTCTAAGCCGAGGTAATCAGGCCCCACTCACGCGCTCGAATGTACAGAGAGGGAGAGGGAGAGAGGGAGGGAGAGGGAGAGGGAGAAGGGAGAGGAGAGAGAGAGAGGAGAGAGAGAGAGAGAGAGAGAGAGAGAAGGAGAGAGAGAGAGAGAGAGAGAGAGAGAGAGAGAGAGAGAGAGAGAGAGAGAGAGAGGAGAGGGAAGGGGAGAGAGAGAGAGAGAAAGGGAGAGGGAGGCAGGAGAGAGAGAGAGAGAGAGAGAGAGAGAAGAGAGAGAGACGAGAGAGATTAAAGAACCCCAGAAAGAAAAGAAAAAGACGAAAGAGCCACCCAAACTAATTCATCATTTCGAAACGGCGCATCTAATCAAATCTCGAGGCCGAACGACGTGCCTCGAATCAACAGCAACGCGAGACGGGCGAAGGGCACATCTCCACCTGAATCGCCGACATTTAAGACCTCGATTTCGACCTCCTCTCGAGAAAGCATCAATTCACCCCCCCCCCCCCCCGTAAACGTTTAGAGGAAAAACGTTATCGGCTGTGAGCTATCCGCGTGTATTCCCCCACGTTATCTGAACTTAGTAGGCCTACTGATTTCCAACAGGTCACTTAAGCTGCTTACCGTAAGCGACCGATTATCTTTCGGATTCAATTATCTGATACGCCGCGGATAACGAGAGCCGTTATTCCGAAACAACGAGAGGAAGACACTAAACATAAATAATATATAGCTAAATTAGAAAATGGATAAAATATTCTCTCTCTCTCTCTCATCTCTCTCTCTCTCTCTCTCTCTCTCTCTCTCCTCTCTCTCTCTCTCTCTCTCTCTCCTCTCTCTCTCTCTCTCATTTCCAACAAGATATCATCCTTTTCGAGCGATTCCACATTTTTAACTAGAAAAAATTTCACACTCCTATCCAACACCCTCCTTGAACCTCCGTCAACAACGAAAACTTTATCCCTTCCCATCCACAATCATAACACAACCGCAATTCAACTCAACCCTTATTAAAACCGCGTATCTGCAACTCCTCGGAAGGTTAAAATGAAGTAATAATGATTTCCTCAACACGTGCAAGGCCACGCAAATGTAAACAAACTGGCGGAGAGAGGAGGCAGTGCAGACGAATCGCAAGGTCTAAGACACAATGAACTTATCTTTATCTGTTTGATCGATCTCGGAGGTGGTGTGTTTGTCCCTGCCTCTGAGTCTGTCTGTCTATCATTACCGGTTATTTGTCTATTGTATTATCATTATCATCATAGTTTATTATTATAATAATAATAATTATTATTACCATAGATCATTCTCCTTATCATTATCATAGTTTATTAATCTTATCATCAGATAATTTCATTATCATTACCCTCATAATAATTCTCATTTTCATCATATTTCATTATCATCATTACAATTATCATAGTATATTAATACAATCATGTTTGTCGTCACATTATTATTACTCCTACAATATGATTATTAATATTATTACTAATATTATCATCATCATTATCCTCATTATTTTCATCACTATTCTCACAACCATTATCTTTACAATTTTCATTCTCATAGTTATTATTACCATTATATTATTATTATCATTAACATTATTATCATTTTATCATCATTTCAATTATTACTATCACAATAACTATTATTGCTATAGTCATTATCATTATGATAATTCCATTATCAGCATTACCAACATCATTATCACTCTTATCATTCTGATACTACCTCAGAGTTCACCATCTGTCACTTAAATACTAATCATTTGTGTATATCTGTCATCAGTATAATTGTCATTGTCATATTACTAATTCTTAATGTCCCACATTTTCAGCTCACAATGGAAAGTGTTTGGGCTATTTATCCACTCAATCAGAAATAACCTTGAAAATATACTCTGCTTTAATTCTAGCAGACTTCACTTGATTTCTTTACAGGTTTAGTGTAGTGCTAGGACCTATTTTCCCCTGCACTGTGACCTGTTATTATCTAAATAAATACAAATCTACTTACACTTTATCTAAATTTTATGTAATTTCTTAAAAAATGTATATCACTACTAATCATTGCAAAAGTATTGATCAAGATTTGTGTATCACTTACATTAAACTTTTTGTTATTCTTTTTCTTTTTAATGTTATTCAACTAATCAGAAATAAGAAAGGATTTAAGTTATATACTTACAGGTACTTAAAATCACCTAAATGATTCATCATAAACATTTCCCTCTAGTTGGTAATAATAATTTTTTCATTCAAAATGTATATAATATTTTGAAAATCACAATAAATCTATTACTATTGATACTTAGTTCATGTGCCACAAAAATTGACTGGGCCAAATAACAGTATTATTCTACCTGTAACTTCTTATTAGTTAAAAGTTAACATGCTGCAGACACTGATTTACTTTATAGAAACTATCTATCTCATAAAGTATATACTGTAGTGTAAATCAGTAAACACACAAACACACATATATTTATATATTTATGTATAAGATGAATTGTGGATGTAATTAGCATAACTTCATACTTTCCAGACAATAAGAACAAATATAATTTATTTATAAACTTCTTCCATGTGTATGACAATTGCTTATTATTCATACTTTACTTACAACAATAAAATACCTTACTTCATAATGATCTTACTGGTTGTAGTCTCATGGTTAGTATTATTTTCTTTCTTACCCTTTGCTTTGTTTTCTCCTCCTTTGTTGAGCTAAGTTTGTTTTGCAAAAAGTCTAAATGTCAAATATAAAACAGGTTTTAAAAAGTGATATAACTCAATATCATATCAAAAACACCTTCATGCTTAGATATCCAAATAACCAGCATCAGATAGTCCTTTTTTCCTAAATGCCTGAATAATCATGTGACATGTTATTCCAGATGAAAATGTGTAATATTTAAGAAATGGCACCTCATCAGGAACAATTCAACATTTTCCTATTAGCCTAACCACACCTACTGAAATTGGTGAGCAAATCTGTGATGATTAAATTAATACCATTCTACTTGCTTTCTATCCATACATAACTTTCTTTCATAAGTTCAAATTCAGCTGAATAAAACAGTAAACTATTTATCAACTGAATAAAACTACGAACCATTTATCATAGACAATCAAATATTCATAAACTACCGCCAAGTTCTTTGTGACAGAATTCATATCCCGGTTTGACACTATCTAAACTAACATATAAACTACAATCAAATGAAAATTAATGCAGAGAAACAACACTATTGAAACATTACGAGAATGCGGACAAACTCTTTCATTACACGACACTTGTTTTAACATTTGGCGGTCATGACAGTCAACTATTTTAGCGAGTCTTAATCACGGCGAAAGTTCATCTCTTTTCTATTTGTGGAAATATATGCATTTATGTACGAAATTCCATTTCTACAGGCCTTCGTGACCCTGTCAAGTGCCTTGGGGCATTGAGAGCTGACACCTGTCAAGACGAAGCAGAGGTAGCCGACAGCAAAGGCAACGTTAGGCCAAGCTTTTATGCGTTTCTACGCAATTCTAATCTATTGAAACCGTTGTTATGCCTTTCTGCAAAGAGTGAAAGCAAAAACTCACCCATGTCAACGTATATTAGCACGAATTACAGCATCACAACCGAGAGAGAAGTTACACACAAACACACTACACGAATATTATTGTACTACTGATAAAACACGCGTGCGTTTCCTTGGCGCAGGTACAGGAAAGCCGGATTGATTTGATAAAGATTTAAGCTTAGAATGTTGTTTTGCTAATGTAATACTTATAAACTATTCTTAGTAATATTTTGTAGTTATATGGATAATGAATAAAATATTTTCCGTATCATATAAACGTTTATTATATGTGATTATAGAAATCGGACAGAAGAACGCTTCAGGGAAAAAGGCTCGTATGGTAAACAACATTTCACGTCTTTTGTTTTAACATAATCTTCTCTAAAGTGAAACATTGTTTTTATTTGTTATGGTATCAACATTTTATATAATGTTGATAAGAGCTAGTTAGTTGCACGAATATTTTTTGAGAATATGAAACACAAAATTGATGGAATACAGCTGCCAACCGTACGATTACATTGTTGTCCCCTACGTTTTTAAGGCTTTATCCTCTTTCAAATTTCAGTTCATCTCTTGATAACAAATGCATGTCAAAACATAGTATTGAAGTTCCAATAGAATTAAAAATACCATAAAATATTATTTTTATCTAAATAATTTTCTTTTGTTATGATTTAGGAATAACTGCAATTATTGTTTACAAAAGTTTTTGACAATCCTTAATATCAAACGGGAGTTCGCGCATACCAGCTGACAGACGGCCGAGAGTCAACACAGCGCTTGCTCCGTCTCTCAAGGTGGTCGTCAGCTGTTTTGCCTCAATTTCCGGGGTACTTTATGCTGCAGTGCTGCTTCACTCTCATTTCTTCGTTCTTTTACTCTCATTTCCTGGTGTCTAATCACTTCTTGTTCTTGAAAATGGGTTAGAAGGATTTCCGTTGGAATGAGCAGGGTCATGTTACGGAGATGAACTGAAACGATCAGGGAAAATTGGATAATACCAATTATAGCCCAAAAGAATTGCAGACTTGCAAGGAAATAAGCTTCCTTGATCGTGGCTTTGCGCGCAGAGGAGTTACATCGGTTTTGTTAGAGGTAGCAGGTAAGTTGTAGTTTCTTTTGGGTACTTTTGAACAATCTATGGAATTCCCGGCTTCGGCTAGTGTTATCATAGGTACGAGATTACAGTTTTTCATTCATTTTTTGACAAGAAGATGTGTTTATTTGAAATCATTTATTTTATATTCATGTTACAGTTCTTGGTTTTTGTTGATTACATAGTTTAGGTAGTCAGATAATATTTTTGTTCATTAGTGGTGGGTACATGATGTGCTTATAAGGCATCCGAATCTGATTATTATTAGATAGGAGCTTAGGTCTTCACAGTGGATCTTCAGATTGTCCTGTTGTTTGTTAAACTCTCTTATTCTTCAAAAATACAGACAGACAGTGTCCATGTCTGTGACAGTGACAATGTAATATTACTTCTCTTTAGGAGAAAATTCTGATTATTATCATCAACCTATGGATCAAGAAGTTTCCATTTCTATTACTGTCATGTTTGTTTTATACCTCATCAGAGTCAGTGTATGACATGAAAAAGAATGAAGTATTAACTGACTTACTAATTTAGAAATATGATAAATACATGAAACATGATTTTCTGATTTATGGCAAAAGTTTATTTAGAACTTCACAAAGGTCTCCAATTTATTAACCATTCTCCATTGACAATTTTTGTTTGCATGTGTAAATCATTGTGATCTCATTGTTTAATTTCATTGATTAATTTCATACATAAAAATGTGTTCTGAATGTAGCACTATAAATGATATACTTTGTAATCATCGTCATCATTATCCTTAATTAAGGTTATGGTAATGATGATTATGTTTATCATTATCATAATTTTAGATATGATAATGATGATAATAATATAATTATTATATTATCATTATTATTATTACTACATTATGATTATTTATGTCATTACTAATATTATTATCATCACTATTCTCATTACTATTGTCCTCATTGTTATTAATATTATTAAATTAATCATCATCATCATCATCATTATCATTATTATTTCTGTTATTATTGTTATTGGTGTTGTTGTTATAATAAATATAATAGTAATAATAGTGATTATTATTATTATCATTGTTATTATTTTTTTGTCATTGTTATTTTTCATTATTTTTATTTTAGTATTTTAATTATTCTTTTTTTATTATCTTATTATTATTATTTATTATTTCTTTTATTACTAATGTTATCATCAGCATCATCATTAATATTATTAATGTTATTATTGTTGTTATTAGTTGCTGCTGTTGTATTTTTAATTATTATTATTATTATTATTATTATTATTATTATTATTATTATTATTATTAATATTATTATTATTTATTATTATTTTATTATTATTATTGTTATTGTTATTATTATTATCATAATAATATTATTATTATTTATTATTATTTATTATTATTATTATTGTCTTAATATTAATTTTTGTTATTATTATTATTATTATTGTTATTATTAGTATTATTATTATTATTTTATTATTATTATTATTATTATTATTATTATTTTATTATTATTATTTTATTATTATTATTGTTATTATTATTGTTATTAATTATTATTGTAATTATTATATTATTATTGTAATTGTTATTATATTTATTTATTATTATTATTATTATTATTATTATTATTATTATTATTATTATTATTATTATTATTATTATTATTGTTATTATTGTTATTATTATCATTATCATTATCATTATCATTATCATTATTATTGTTATTATTACATTATCATCATATCATCATTATTATTAATCATTATCATTATCATTGTTATTGTTGTTATTATTTATCAATGTTTTTGATATTGTGATAATTATTATTATTAATGTTGTATAGTTTTTATTTTTGTTATTATTATTTGTATTTGTTATTATTATTATTATTATTATTATCACTATTTTTATTTTCATTGTTATTGTTATTGTTATTATTATTATTATTATTTATTATTATTATTATTATATATATATATATATATATTATATATTATTTTTATTATTATATTATTATTAATTATTATTATTATTATTATTTTTATTGTTATCATTATTATTATTATTATTGTTATTATTTATTATATTATTATTATTTATTATTATTATTATTGTTATATTATTATATTTATTTTCTTTCTTTATTATTATTATTATTGTTATTATTATTATTATTATTATATTATTATTATTATTATTATATTATTAATATAATTATTATTATTATTATTATTATTATTATTATATTATTATTATTATTATTATTATTATTATTATATTATTATTATCATTATTATCATTATGTTATTATTGTTTATTATCATTATTATTTTTTTATCATCATCATCATATCGTTATCATTGTCATTGTCATTATCATTGTTATTTTTGTTATTATAACAATTATTACTGTTATTATGATTATGATATTATCATTATTATTGTTTTAATTATTGTCATTAATGTTATAAGTATTGTTCTTGTTTTTGTTCTTGGTTATTGTTTATTGTTTATTATGTATCATTTATTATTGTTGGTATTATTTTTATTATCACTTGTGTTTTTATTTATATTATTATATATGAAATAATTATAATTATTTCTATTATTCTTATCTTTGTTTTTGTTGTTATTATTGCTTCGATTATAATTATTTCCATCATTTTTATTTCTGATAGATGCTATTAGGAGGATTAGAATTATTTTGAGGGTAGTTGTATTGTAAGTATCATGATAAATGTTTTTGCTTCAAATCTTTCAAAATACCCTTATAACACAGCCCTATTCCCCAATTCCAGGCTGCAATATGACTGCAACAACAAATGAAAGGGGAGGTGGGTTCCTGCGCACACGCCTGCGATCAGCACTCCACACTTCCAACGACCTCCTCTCAGGCATCTCCTCGAACATTTCCTCACGACTGTCAGCCTTCTCAGTAGCCTCTGCCAACTCCAATGCCTCCTCAGAGCGCACACCACCAGCGGGAGAGAAGGTCCGGCCAGAGACGCCTCCTCTCCAGCTTCCTCCGAGCCCAGAGGACAGCCACCGCTCCCCAACCATGAAAGAGATGATTAAGGTAGTGTGGATGTGGGTGTGAGTGTGGGTGTTGTAAGCATGGGGGTGCATGCATGCATGTGTGTGTGTGAGTTTCTATTGAAATTTGGTATGTTATATTTGTTTAGAGTGAGATTAGGCATTGTCCTCAAAGTATGTGCTATATGATAACAGTAAAGATATAGAAGTTATGGCATTAACGGATGTGGTTCTTTATTACATTAGAGATGTTTGTTTTGTATGATAGATAATGCAGTATTATCAGAAAGTCAATAGTGGTCCTTGTTGTATTAATTTGATATTGAACCTTTAACCAGGAGACCTTCAAACTTGAGAACTTAAGGGAACTGCCAACTTTGGAGGAATTCATGCAGTCAGAATCATCTTCAGAGCCTTCAACACTACCAACTGACACGCCAGAATCTCCCAAGACAGGCTTCCGTTACCATTTCAATAATTTCAACCAGGCTATACCAAAAAAACTTGTCGACTATAAGGTAATTGTAGATTACTTGCAAACTATTTTGCTCATTACTGGTAGAAGACATGAAAAGTTATATAGATTGAAGTGATTGTAGCATTATATTATGAAGCAGTTTTTGCTCTTTCCCTGAGTATATTGTAATTTGAGTTGTCACTGAAAATTGAAATTACGTTAGGTGCAACTAGAAAAGAAAGAATTATGAAATCAATCACATGAAATGCTCAGTATGACTGACAAGCATGAAATTCTGTTTCAGCAACTGGCGATAAGGACTCTGAGTGGGGACACACAAGTAGAAGGTGTAGCAAATGGCCAAGAAGAGCTGAAAGGCTGTGCCATCAATGTGGAGTGTGTTGATGATGAAGCTGCACAAAATGAAGGTTATTATGATATCCATGTATTTTTCTGGTTACTTCACTCTTTTTTGACATTAATAGTACTTTCAGATAACAGTTTATTGTCTGAGATCTGATGGTACAAAAGATGGCATGGTATGTTCAAAATGTAGATTTTTTTTTTGTAGTTAGTCTGAAATGTCTTTTGTTTTACATAGACTTTATTTACAGAAAGAGATATTCAGTTGTTTTGAATGTTACTTCAGGTTGTGAATAAGTTAGCCGTGGTGTGGGAACCAAGAGGAAGAGTGAGTATGATATGTGGCCAGTCTGTGCATGAAAGATGGTGATGGCCAAAACCTCTTTTTATGGGTGTAGACACTTAACCAGGTTTCTAAGTAACTTATAATTGCACACATATTACCTCATCATAATTTAGAGTAACTGAATTTTCCGCTTCTACTTACATTGTGTGGCTTCTGAATCAGTCTGAGAAAACTATTCCTTGACTTTGGAGAGAGGTAGTTCTTTCTGAGGAAGTCATGTTCCCTGCCTCATTTATTGTAGTCTGTGTCCAAAAATTTTGTCTAACATAAAGTACTGTCTTTCTAGGAGATGCACTAACTCTTTTTCCATGGCATTTATTTTCACTCCTGTGTAAACTGTTCCTAAATGTTTCCCTTTCTGGTTATTTGCTTTGTGCAACTCTTCTGTAAGTGTAAAACAATCCATTTTGCTTTCGGAAATTGTAACCTTTTCGCCTGAATGAAGAAGAGGGGGCATCCTTACCCAAGGTGCCTCAAGGCTATTGTTAAAAGATAACAAAAGAATTCACTGAACAAAATCAAAGAGTAATTGTTATAGAGAAAATATGATTTGATATAGTTGGATATAGATTGAATTGTATCATAGGATGTAGATTTTCATGATGAATGTATTAATATTTTTTTGTATTTGAACTTACCATTTATATTTTTGGTTGTTTTTGTGAGTTGGAAAAATAAAACAGGCTTTTTTTTTTACATTTTCATGATATGGATAGTGATTATTAAACACTGAAAGATAATCAGTATTTGTTATTGTTGAGCAAATCAACCATAATTTTTTAATAACAAGCAGATATATGTAAGGATAAGGTATTTTAGAAACAGTGCCTGTGTGTTTTTTTTTTTTTTTTTTTTTTTTTTTTTTTTAGTATATTTAATGAAAAAAAGATATAGTGCAGGATATTATAATAGAATTAATTAGCTTTCTTTATTGTCCAGAAAATTAGGAGTTTGAAATGGAAAGTTTGATTCTAACCTGCTGTTTGCAACTACATTCTTGTGCATGTGTTGATCATAGCTGTATTGAACATGTTAGGAAAATATGGTCATGTAACATTTTTTTTATACTGATTATCAAGTTTATTACTCTTATTTTTCAGTGTCCAGTATTTGTGCAAATATATATATGTGTGTGTGTGTGTGTGTGCGTGCGTGCGTGTGTGTGTGTGTGTGTGTGTGTGTGTGTGTGTGTAGTGTGTGTGTGTGTGTGTGTGTGTGTGTGTGTGTGTGTGTGTGTGTGTGTGTGTGTGTGTGTGTGTGTGTGTGTGTGTGTGTGTGCGTGCGTGCGTGCGTGCGTGCGTGTGTGTGTGTGTGTGTGTGTGTGTGTGTGTGTGTGTGTGTGTGTGTGTGTGTGTGTGTGTGTGTGTGTGTTTATAGATGTTTGTGCCATTCATGAAGAGAGAAACCGGTATTCACATATTGCAAAACTATTGTAACTTCATCTTGGAAAATTCAAGGTCTGTTTTAAAGGTTTGGTTGATTGTCACAAACTTTCTTTGTAATCAGTGATATGCAGAAATATTTCTATAGCTTCTTGTATGCTGATGACTGTTTATCTGTATTTTGAAACACCTACACTGATATCAAAACATTTCAATAACCCTGTCAGAATATCATTACTTCTTAAGTAACAGCTTGAAAAATTCTTAAACAGTAAATATTTTTTAATGAAAAAGTGATTAACCAGAGACTGACACTGTATTCCTTTTATGAGAAAAAAAATCTGTTCACCTTTTCCTGTTGTCATATACCAGTCTAACTTTAATTAGATAAAAGAAATTGGGCTGATATTCACACAAAGTTATAGACTTGGAGATTTGTTTGTGGCAGAAAGAAAAGCTTTTGACTCAAAAAAAAATTCTATGACTCATCATGACATAGTCTTTGAAACCCAATTTCTGATTTGATGAAAGCTTAAGGCAGGTCTGGAAGTGTTGTCAGATTTTCCATTTGAGAAAATAATACTAGGTTACAGTCTGATATTGAAGATAAGTTTGCATTTGTTGTTACAAGAAGATGCTAATTGAAAGTGATACATGAACTTATACAATATTTTAAATCTGTTATGCTTATGAACTTATACAATATTTAAAATCTGTTATGTTATAGTCATAATGTTAATGAGACTTATTGCAATGTTTGTTCAATTTTATTATGATGATCTTTTATCAGTATAAAGTATATTTTTATACATGTTAGTTCAATTTAAAATTGAAAGGTGGCAATGGTGCAAGTCATTGATGAAATCACTGGGACAGTCTTATACCAAGGAATAAACAAATTGTAGGACAAGCTTTGAGACAAAGAATGTTTTTTAGGACAGTCCTTAGATTGGTTTAAGAAAATTCTATAAACTTTAATGAATTGTGTCTCTGGTTCAATCACCCTGCACTGTGAAGGACCTTGTGTGATGTTGGTTAGTGCTGTGTTAAAACTGTCGACTTTTCAAAAGGGCTGATGTGATTAATGAAAGAACACTTCTTTGAGCTAATTCACCTTATTTGCTTTTCCTTTACTTGTTTTTTTTTATCTTTCTTTGTTTTTTTTTTTATGTTATTTTTTTTCTTTTTCTTTCTTTTTTCTTCTGTTTCTTTCTTTTTTCTTCTTTACCTTTATTTTCTTTGCTTTTCTTTTCCAACTTTTTCTTTTTTTCTATTATTTATATTGCTTTCTTTTCCTTCTGTCCTTTTTCCTCTTTCTTGTTTTTCTTCTTCCATATCCTCTCAGCAGCTCTCTTATTATTATTTCCTCCTCTTCTTCTCTTCTTCTTCTTCTTCTTCTTCTTCTTCTTCTTCTTCTTCTTCTTCTCCTCCTCCTCCTTCCTCCTCCTCCTCCTCCTCCTCCTCCTCCTCTCCTCCTCTCCTCCTCCTCCTCCTCCTCCTCCCTCCTCTTCCTCCTCCTCCTCCTCTTCCTCCTTCCTCCTCCTTTCCTACCTCTCCTCCTCCTCCTCTTCTCCTCCTCCTCCTCTTCTTCCTCCTCTTCCTCCTCTTCTTCCTCCTCCTCCTCCTCCTCCTCTTCTTCCTCCTCCTCCCCCTCTTCTCCTCCTTCTCTCTTCCTCCTCCTTCTTCCTCTCTTCTTCTTCCTCCTCTCCTCCTCTCCTCCTCCTCCTCCTCCTCCTCCTCCTCCTCCTCCTCCTCCCTCCTCCTCCTCCTCCTCCTCCTCCTCCTCCTCCTCCTCGTGTTCACTAATTCTTGGTCAGAAAATAAGAATTGAGAGAGAGATACAGTTAGAGAGAGATGGGGAAAGAGTAAGAGGTAACATTAGAGAGAGAGAGAGAGAGAGAGAGAGAGAGAGAGAGAGAGAGAGAGAGAGAGAGAGAGAGAGAGAGAGAGAGAGAGAGAGAGAGAGAGAGAGAGAGAGAGAGAGAGAGAGAGAGAGAGAGAGAGAGAGAGAGAGAGAGAGAGAGAGAGAGAGAGAGAGAGAGCTTGACAGGGGGAGAGATTAAAAAACAGTTATTCATAGTGTCTATGTGTTGTGGCACTTTTATACCCTAAGCTCAATTTTCATTATTAGGTGTGTGTTATGTTAATGTATTCCTTTTGTCATAATTTGCATAATGGTATAGATCTTTGTGCATTAGCAGAGACATTACAGACTTGCGGCCACTTTGTTGAAATTGTTCAAGGCCTTACCAAATGAATATTCACATATGGAAATGCATGTGCACAGAAATGAATGCATATCTATCTATCTGTCTAATAGATATACATTCATCTATCAATCTATCTGGTAGATATGCATGTCTAGTCTGATGGACATGTATTTATTTCCGGGTATATGCATGTCTGTATAATGGATGTTCATTGGCTTGGGCCTCGCACAATTTTAACAAACTGGCCGTATATCATTTATGTTTGAAGACCTAAGAAAATAATCATGCATTGAAATTT